TCTTTAGTGTAAACAAGAGTTTGTTTTAGAATCTTTGGACCTTAGCAGTCACACTTTCCAGATCATTGCTTTAGAGGAGTCAGCTTGGTAATGGGCTTGGTGCACATGAAAATGTCAGGGGAGGATTTCCAGAAAAACATTCAGCTGAGAAAACGATAATGAAGATGCTAATCAGAAACAGTAGTGTACTGCTACTATACACTCCCTCTAGAACCCCAGGCGTCCAGAGACGATTCTGGACTACTTCCTGTTAACACAGTAGGGCTAGCACACACTGCACCCCTCTCTCATCCCAAAGACACTGACTTAGCATTTGGCCTTGAGCCAAAGAGGCATATTCTGAATTCAGAGTTGTAGCAATGTTCAGTACAATTACAACATAATGGCTGCAAAGCTGTTCCTGAAAGCCAAGAAAACCTGAATAATGTGGTTGGGTTATATCATACATGAGGGCTTAATAGAGTTAAAAACCAATTTGAAAATTCCTTCATTCCATAAAGATGGCATTAAGATGAGGGCAAAATCATTCTAGTTCAAGGGATGGGAACAAAGTGCATAAGGACTTATGCTGACTCCTTTCCACATTATCCTTCTTAACTAAAATGACCCATCCCCTTTGAAGATATCTCTGGTATTTAATGCTGACCCAGAAAGAAGGCAATTTCATTAAAACATCTTAGTTTTATTGTAACCAGCTAGTAATGCCAGTTTCCTTGCTATTTACAAAGCACACAATCCCATTTCCAAAAACAACTATTTGCAATTCAAAATCTGCCCACCCAGGGAAGGTCATCCATTCATCACTAATACCCCCACCATTTCCAGGTCACCTTGCCAAAGAGATGAATTTATCTTCATGACCACACAAGACCTGAAAGATTTTTCATTCATTTTTAGCCATTTTGTAGCAAATGACTTTGGAAACTTTGAATTACTAAATTTGAGCATTTTCTTCGACTTGTGATACCAACAATACCTAGGCCTGGCTCAATCTGAATGTTGGGAACCATATTCTCTTGAGGTCGTGCACCCACAACTCTCGGTGATGTCAGATTCTACAATCCTCGGATCCCATTCTGTTACTTAACACTTATGGGGATGTCTTAATATTTTGGAACTGGGAAGTGACTTCAATGATCTCCTTGTGTTATGGATAAACTAATGTCTTCCTGAAACCTTCCATATTGCATTTTTTGGTTCATCTTTCTGTATTTTTTCCTTGAACAATGGCTTATTTTTATACATAATGAGACCAAAACAGAATTTTCAGAACTACAAGGGATCTCCAAGTTCAACCTCCTTTCTTTAAAAAAACAAAAACAAAAACAAAAAAAACCTCAGAAAGCTTTATACATAAATCCTCAGCATACCAAACAACTGGTAGCACTTGTGTTTAAAGATTAATTTAAGGATGGAGAGTGAGGAAAGCCTCTGCTTCAGACAGCAGAATTCTTTTATTTTAAGAATGAGGTTCTGGACTCTAAATCTAAGAAGATACAGATCAATTTCATTTTTGAACGTGGAGTAACAGAGCTGAACTTAGATCTCTTTTTTTCCACTCTCATGTCCTAGGCTGACTCAGCTGACTGAATTTCCATTAAATAACACTATCCTTTATCTTGGCTGACTGGAAGAACTATATGTTTTAAAAAGTAAAGAGTTAAAAAAATCAAATAATTCAATCTCATGTCCTCCCTCCTGACTAAACTAGAAGCCATTTCCCTGTGATTAGTATGAAAAAGTACAGGAACAACGAAAGGAAGTTCATTTGTTTCCAGGAGTAATGTTCTGGTTTCTGCTGCAGTCCCACTGGCAACAGAAGGAAGCAGTGTGTTCCACAGGCCTGCCCCATTATAACACAAAAAGCTGTCAGTTTTGAACTCCTTGGGAATTTGAGCAAAGCAGAAAAGATGATAGTGGCTTTCTTACAATATTATCTGGGCAACCTAGCCTTAAAATAGTGACCATACATAGATTGTTTCTCCTTAAGGAAGGACCAAATGAAGGTATTAGTGACCTAGGTAAACTCGTAATTTGGTATACCTCCACAAAGACAGTCTTCATACATTTGCTCAACAAGTCTTTGGGTGAGGAGTTGAGCATGAAAGGCCTGAATGGAGGGGGAGACAGGGCTCCTGAAGCCATTCAACACAACTCAGGCCCTATAGCTGATCAGGACCCAGCTCCTTGGAAGGCAGTTTGGTGACCATCTGTAGATTCTCAAATATGCATTTCCCTACTCCACGCTGTTGATCAAGGCATTAGTAACTGCAGTATTTATAACTGTATCTAGTAAGCTCTTGAAAGGTTAATGTTTTATATAATCCTTTTCTCTACCTGTTGTATTCCCAATCACATTATAGATCCAATTGCCCTTCAGGGACACTGTGTTTTCATTTCTGTGGCATATACTGAGTGTTTGCAATGCGTCAGGCACTGTGCCAGGTATAGAAACATGAGAGTGATTAAGATCCTTTCCCTGGGGGCACCTGGGTGGCTCACTGGGTTAAAGCCTCTGCCTTCGGCTCAGGTCATGGTCCCAGGGTCCTGGGATTGAGCCCCGCATCGGGCTCCCTGCTCAGCGGGGAGCCTGCTTCCTCCTCTCACTCTCTGCCTGCCTCTCTGCCTACTTGTGGTCTGTCTGTCAAACAAATAAAATAAAAAAAAAAAAAATCCTTTCCCTGCCCTTTAGGACCCTACACCTTGCACAGAAGAAAAATTTACAAATAGAGTACTGCAGTGGTGAAGCCTATAGCAGTTAAATGGTTATTACCAGATACTAAGGATGAAATGCTCTGAAATCCTGGGAGATGGATATTTTCTTAAAATAGAAGGTATCTTGAATTTTGCCTCCATCTCTAGAAACCTTATCTTTGGTCAAGATTAGAATAAAAAGAGAGTGATGTTTCCATGCCTCCAGGTTCCTGTAACTGTAACTGGAATATTAGGGATGTGGATAATGATCTATGAGACACTCAGCCCAAACATTTCATTTTGCATATTTTTTCTCAAATGATTTTGTCCCTGAACTTGCTATGTGATATTACTAGGGGAAGGATGAAGGAAGCCTGCCTAGTCCCTGCTACCTGTGTGGATCCCTGGATCCAGATGGTTTCTCCCCTTCAAAATAATTGCAAACAAGATTAAAACTGCATGCAGGAACAATCCCAGCTGGCTTCTGGTTTCCTCTGATGTACACTCCTTGAATAAAGCAGTGGCAAAATTAGATTTAAAATAAGGAACATAAAAAACCTCCATACTTGTACCATATTACCTCAGGGTCCTGCTATATGTGAAACACCAAACCCTGGCATTAAAGTAACTGAACGCATCAGCCAGCTAGAATATGCATACATTATGAAATACAAAAACTTAAAAAAATAACTTATTTTGAAGGCATATCTCCACATTGCCTCCAGGTACTTAAGAGTACAAGAGAGCCAAGACATCTGGGATAAAATAGAAATACAGTCCAATAAATTCCCGAGTTGGAAAATCCTCATTTCTATTACCTTAACTGCCATCAATCCATCTAAATAAAACCACATAGCCACATTTTCTTCTAGTGAAAGAGACAAAAAAATATTGATTCTTCCTCAGTAGGCAGTCACTACTGACCACAGAAAGTATGAAGAAAGAAAATCTGGGGAGACTGCCTGTCTAAAGCACCAGCCCCACCAATCTTAATTTTCCCAACAGGAACTTTCTGGTTCCACCCAATTCTTCAGCAGAACGGGACTCAGGTTATCAGGCTATGACGTTCCACACAGAACCATGACAGTTGGGCCTTACCCTGATGTTACAATGATCACTTAGTATTTCCAGGGAGACTTCTTTTCCAAGTGTTTCAAATCTCACTGTATGTAGCTCCAAATATTGATAAATATTGGTTAGAGAGTTTCATATGCATTTTCATAAGCTATTCTTCATATAATTAATAAATGAAGGGTCTGCGGCCTATAACAGCTACCTCAACTTGTACAGTGGCATGCACACTGAGACACTGGTGCAGTGGCTGCTTCACCAAGGTAATGCATAGATACAGGAGCCCTGCTTATATCGGGAAATGTGCTAGAAAGAGTTGGAGGTATAACAGGTTCTAGACACTATTCCTATCCTGGAGGAGTTTATAGCTTGGGATCAAGCTGGGCCATACTGTGTGTGTGTGTGTACACACACACACATATTTAAAGTGCCCTACAATATGAAGTACTACATGAAATAATATTAAGAAACAAGAATAACTATTATCCTGGCAAAAACCTTGTTAAAGACAGTATTAGAAACAGGCACTTGCCTTTTCCCATTAATAATTTCGCTGGGAATTCTTTACCTCTGGACTTACTAAAAAAAAATTGTATGAGGTGGTTTTTATCAGGGGTGGCCGACAAGGCTAAGTATTTGTTGAGAACTGTCTCTGATTTATTCTCACGTTGTTCACCACCCAGGAGTATGCTTTTACCAGTAAAGCAGAGAGGAGGTTCCCAAACCGCGGGACTCAACAACGTTCCCTGCAGCACCTTTCAACCTTTTCACCCCCAATTAAAGGTCAACATGGCTGCTCAAAAATATTTATTTAAAAGGCAGTCCTGCCAACTGAGATTATATTGCCACTTCACAGAATTCAATTAAACCTCGGATGGGGCTTCTGTGAAACACTGGAATTAGCGTGAAACTGAGATGCTTTCTGCTTCCTCTTAAAAAGCTGCCTTTTCCCGCTCGTTATTTTGTTCCCTTCCCAGAGCGCCGTCACTTGTGCGGCGCGCGCGCACAGACACAGACACACACACACATACATGCAGACACACAAATGCCTATAATCTCCCCCCGGAGGTTCATGGATTTATGGCTCTCGGTTTAATTAAATTCCCTCTAACGAAAATCGAAATTGGCAGCTTGCACTCCAGCTAAAGGTTCGCGTGCCCCGCCTCCCGCCCCGGCGCCGGCTCCCGGCTGGGACCAGAACTCCCACTCCCTGCCGCCAGGCCGCTGGCACCCACCTGAGCCGGCCGCCGGCTAAGTCGCCGCTTCCGCTCCGACCCCGGCACTTCCGTCCGGACTGGTCCGGGTTACGCCCCGTAGCTCTCACTTCCGGCGAAGCACGCCAGGCTTTGGCGGTCCTCCCGGGGTCGCACAGCCAAGCAGGTCGCATGTTTATAGGGTGGGCCACCCCTGGGCAGTTTCTCAGGAAAAGAGAGACGCAGTAACGAAGGCCAAATGTTTAAAAAAAAAAAAAAAAAAAAAAAAGGTGCCTAGCCTGTTTGGGGACCACTTAATAAGAAGCCAACTTTGAAAATGGGGAGTTCAGGCTCTTAACTCTTCCCTGTGTTCATTCACTCATTCATGTAATGTTGACTGCCTTCCTCCCCTTGGTCCCGGCTGAGCTAGGTTATGGGGAACGAGGTGATGAAACTGGCAGCTGTATTCTCCCCAAACTTAAAATTAAGTAAGCAAGTCACACATTAGGAAGTAATCCTTTAAGTAGGCCATGAGTTCAGTGAGCTAAATACATTGAAAGGGAAGGAATGTGAACCTTTAAAAATTAGGTGGAAGTGATCTGCCTGAAGAGGTAGCTTTAGGGTTGGGATGTGAAGCGCCAGGTGGGGCAGGGACGGAGCTCTCTAGGCCTGTGGAAGTCGGACTGGAGGGAGCCGGGCACCAACAACGCATAGAAGACTAGTATGGCTGAGGCATAGAGTGAGTGGGGAGAGAGGTGCAAACAGGCCACATAGGGTAGGCAGGAGCCTTTTTTCAGTTTTGTGCTAAGGACAGCTGGAGGAATTTTTGTTGTATTCTTTTTGTTTGTGTGTTGGAAGGGGTTGAACTGATTGCCTTTCCTTACTGAAAGGATCACTCATCCTTGGGAAGGAGATGAGAAGGGGTTGGGGTAGGTAAGAGCAGAGTGCCAGCTGAGAAGGCAGGAGGCCCCTAAGTACTCCAGGGCTGAGGTGTGGTGGCTTGAATGGTGGTACTCTGAATAGAAAATGATACGTAATTATAAGAGCAATGCTTAAAGCTAACATGGATTGCTCACATCAGCTTTATACTCATTAACTTGTTTAATCTGGGGAACCATCCTTTTAATCATTATTGGTACCATTTTGCAGATGAAAAAATAATAACTTTCCTTAATCTCAGAGCTAGAAAATGGCAGAAATGGGATTGCATCTCATCCTGTCTGATGGCAGTATCTAAGAGCTTACTACTATATACTCAATTTGTATTTAGTGATTTTTATTTTATTTTATTTTTTAAAGATTTTACTTATTTATTTGAGAGAGAGAGCGTGAGAGCGACCACAGAGGGAGAGTGGGAGGGAAGCAGACTCCCTGCTGAACAGAGAGCTGATGCAGGGCTCTATCCCAGGACCCCAAGATCTTGACCTGAACAGAAGGCAGACACTAAATTGACTGAGCCAGCTAGGTGCCCCATGTATTTAGTGATTTTTAAAGAAGATACAAAACAAACCAAGGTCAGGAATGCATTCCCTAAACAAACTACACTGATGATGTGATATTGTTGGAAGAAGCATCTAGAAAGTAGAGTTTTCAAATTTGCACTTTATCTCTACAGCACTTGCTGATAGCAAAAGAGGGGAATTTATGACTGTCAGTAGACTACCTATGATTATATTTGGGTTGATACACTCTGATAAGACCTAATCCCTTTCTGAGGGTGTGGGGGAGAAAAAAGTACACTCCACCTAACATTGCTGATAAAATATTTTTAAAGAAGTTATTTTGAGTCTAGTTATAGTTATAAACACCTTAATGGAACACACATAACTCACATTTTATGGAGCGATGGAAAATCTTCCTAGGAATGCAACTTCAAATCAGCTTCCACATCTCATTTCTTATTAGAAAATAAAATAAATTGGATTTATGAAACCTGATTTCATCCACTGAAGGAAAAGAATAATGTTACCAAAGGCCAACAGTGAAGTCTTTTAGCATTAGTTATGGGTAAATTTCTTTAAGGAGCCAAAAATTCACAAAAATCTTCAGAATTTGAGTTTAATTAGTAAGTCTTAATTTGGTTGTTCAGGTGATGGTGCAAGGTGTGGTACCTCCACAGGATTGTTTGGATTAAGGGCACAAGTTGAATGAAATGGCTGGAAATCCCCAAGAACTCACTGTAGTCCATGCCCAGTTATTCAGGGAGTGCTTGGCTGAATGCCAAAAACTCAGAGGACAAGCTTAGCCTCTAGGTGGTAGACTCACAGTGCTGGGCATATGAGCTTGTCTGGGAAAATGTCTGGAGTCTGACTGGGAAAAATTATAGCCTCCAAAATTAGAAAAGGAAAACTGCCAAAGCAAAATTAATCAACATTTATTAAATGGTCACAAAATATAATACTGTGTCAGCTTCATTAATTGCTGGATTTAATGTTCATAACAATTGCATTACATTTGAAAACAGTTTTAAGATGAGCTGCTCTCACCAACTGAGATTTCCTAAATATATATGATGAGTGTTAAGAAATCACAGCACATTTTTAAAAGATTTTATTTATTTAATCACAGCACATTTTTAAATGAGTTACTCTAGCTGAATAATTTCAAAAGAAAAATTATAAAATTTTTATAGCAAAATAATTAAATGTGGGATGAGTACACGTACTAACATGTTTGAAATGATGTGAAAGTAAGAGCCTTTAGAGAATATAAAGGTCTTAGTATAGCAATAGCTCTTGTACATTTATGATCACTCCAAGCATGCTTGTCCTAGGCTTTTGACCTATATCTTGACCTCTAGGTCAGGGTTCCAATTTGAAGCTCTGCCCTGAGATGATGGCTAGGATTGGTGTCAGGATCTCTCACATGAGTTGAGTTCTTCTGTTAGATCCCAGGGCTCTGCCAACTCTATGGTCAGTTCTGAGACTGAAGTCTGCCCTAGAGAAGGCCTGCTGGTTAAGTCTAGTCGGCAACTCCTGAGATAACTTGAAGGGTACTTTATAGGGCATGTCACCATTCCCTCCAGAGATGACCTGGAGCCAGGCTTCCCCACAAAGGCCTCCTGAGGGCTGGATGTGTGTGGTGGAGGGAACCGTCTTCACTCCCATCCCCCTTGCCTTTGCCTCTGGGAGAACAAGAGTAAGGAAAAGGCTTTTAATGTCAATGCTTTCCCTTGAGAATACCCTAAAAAAGATCATATGTGTCCTGATAGGTAGTGACTGTCGTGTTAACTCTATTTTATAGTAACCTGGCTCTGTATTACTACTCAAGAAACATGGAATCTGAACTTTGACTCGAGGGGCACCCACCAGAGCTGGCTGATGTTGATTTTATTATGACGGTAGGAGTATTTAGAAACCTGGTAGATTTTCTTTTCTGGTCTTTTTCAGGTCTTTATAGGAGCTTGTTTATTTATGTCATGAGTGTCTCATCCCCAGCAAACTCTGCAGGAAATGATCTGTAAGGGCCAGATATTGTGTTATGTTTAAGGTCATGGAGAAAAACAGTGGCAACCTCCCAAAGAAAAGACAGGCTTCTGAGTCTGGATGTGTTGGGTCAGCAAGGTCACTGTTGACCCTCTCGGGCCAACCATTGCAGGAAACAGAATTATAAGGTTGTCTTACCAGGGGAGAATGGACCTCAGAAGCCCGATTTCTATATCCCGCTTGACATTTAAAAAACTCTGCTCTTATGCCAGAGGAGAGTGAAGAAAATTTTAAAAGAAGAAAAATGTTTATTTGTTTTAAGGCTTGCTCAGTAATCCACTTATGCCATTTACATTAAAGAACCTTTCTATGTAAACATCATTAATTATGTAGTATAAGAGCCAAATAAAAATGCTAAAAAATAAAAGTAATTATAGAATAAATTAGTATAGCTTGAGTGCACATATATTATACAGAGACTCTAGACTTTTATATTTTATTGAAGGAGGCGGATTTGTGATTTTCTACATTGGAGCTGCTAGGATGGAACCAACAGACGTGACATTTTACAGATGGATACCAATGCTGTTAAAGTTTAAACTCATACTGGCCATGACATGGTGCTTTTTAACAGGGGCCCTGACTTATGCCCCCTCTCTATATCTGTCTAGAAAAGACTCTGGGTGGAGATGTGGATTGAGTATCCCATGGATTTCCCCAGGAGGTTTTTTGGAGCAGGACCATTCTTGTCTTCTCCAAAATCAGTGGCTTCCCTCGTACACTCAAGTGCAATCACATAAGACTGCTTGGGTCTGTGCTTAAGGCAATGAGTTGTGTGCAGCCTGCCAGGCACAAGGGAGGGCAGGGACAGGAGCTGGTGAGGAAATATGGCATGGAGACCTTGTAGTAGCAGTGACAGACAGTATACATTTGTATCACCTTTTGTAGTATTTCAAGGGTTTTCATGTATCCTATGTAATTAAATCCTTTACGATAATTCTATAAAATAGGGAGGGTATGTATTTTTACCAATCCCATGTGGCAGGAAACTGAAGCTTATGGAGGGAGGTCTCAGTGAAACAGGGATTAGAAAGCATTTCCTAAATCCTATCTATGTATTTTGTTTTTCTCTTACACCTTCATATTTCTTTTTAAAAGTAAATGAAAAGCATCATGGTAAAGTTCACGGCAATGTTTTGTGCTATGTGAGATCTTTTAAGAACATGTGAGTGCATTTGCATCATTTCCTCAGGGAAAGTTTTGTTTTACCTAGGAAAGCAGGAAATGGAGTTGAAATAGGAAAAGTTTTTCATTTTTATGGATTAAACCCATCTGTTATGTTCACTAATCTGGGATCATGAAGGAGGAAAGATTTCTCACAGTATAAAGAGAGGAGAAAAGAGAATTATGTGTTTCCTTTGTTCCGTGGTTCAGATTCATACCCATCCACGGAGTCCTATTCAGATAAAACAGGACAGCCATCAGAAAGAAAAGACAGCACTGTCCTCGAACGTGTCCCAACACCTTGAACAGTCTTCAGCAGAGTCGAAGTTAACACTTAGCCAGCTCTGAAGAATTCTGAGGGATAATTATTTTCACTGCTTTGAGCATCTTTCATAAATATGCTTCAATATTTTGCTGTATTATCTGTTATGTCTGCACAG